CCTGCATTTTTATTTTTAAATTTGCACCAAACGCCCAGCAACTAGTTTTTTTTGGCTTTTACTTGCTTTATTATAGCAGCATTTTACAAAACGCAAATAACTTCCTACGTTTATTTGGCAAGTACAGGGAATTAATGAAAAAAATAATAGCGCCGAAACTTAACTGAAATTAGAATTAAAAAAAAAAAAAGGCAACGAAGTGGGACCAGAAAGCATTTCCCAAACCTTCTAGAAAACAATTTCGATTTCGATTTCTAATTCCAGGAGTTTCTGCACAAGCTTATTTCCATTTCTAATTCCAATTCCGATTCCTATCCCATCTAAACTTCCTTTGAAGTCCATTAAACTCTTTGCTACCGGGCTTCCCAAAAAGTTGAAGCGGGGGATCCCGCATCCGACAGGCTAGCCGGGCCGTGAGCGCGGTGGGAATGGGCTTCCCAAAAAGCCAGCCCCGATTTCATTCCCATTTTGATTCCAAGAGTTTCACATGCTATTTCCGATTTTAATTCCAATTTCTCTGAAGTTCCAATCGAAAGTTCTCCTCGATTTCATTCTCATTTCCAATTATCCTCATTTCTGATTGCATGTTCAATTAAATGCAGTTTTTTTGATTGGGGGCATTCAGTCCAGGCTTAGTGTTGCTCAAGACCAAGGCTCTGGTAATTTTTACTCGATTCCGGTGACGGCGTAGACATTGTCCAGCAACCTCTGCAACTCCGATCTCCCTCTCTCTTTTGGTAATCATTCTGAGAACTTAGAATTGCATTACTTAGGTCTCTGATCAATTTTGCAATAACTCAAATGTATTTTCAATTACCTTCAGTTTTTTCTTTCTATTTTTTTCTGGTGAATCTGAATTGAAGTGTTTAGGAGATTGAGTGGTAATATGTAATTTTGCTTAGCTTCCATTATTTTGCTTCTTTTTTATTCTTTTAGTAACTAGTGTTTTGGCTACCGAGAAAATGAAGGATTATTTTTTATTGTGCTATTTTTTGCTTGTTTTTGAGAAAGAATGTCTATTTTGTAGTCTGATTGGTGAGATTTTAATGGTTAGAATTTCAATTTTTATTATAAAGGAAAAATGATATATGATATTAGTGTCTCTGTAAACACATTGAATTTTTTTTGCTATTGTTCTGTGTAGAAAAGTGCTTTAAATTTCTGTTATTGGGATTAGATAGTGTTCTAGCCATGATTTGAAATGAGAGGTAAATGGGCAAAGGCATTCTTTTAGTAGTCATAATATTGTTAAAGTGACTAAACAGTTATAAATAAGAACTTCATCTTGATATATTTCTTTTTTTAATCTCAAATTGTTAAATTTTTCTCTAATGGATAAAAGTTGGATTAACAAATCGCCATTGTCTAAAGAATATCATGATAGTGTTAAGAGCTTCATTAATTTTGTGAGGCAAAATTCTTCTGATAGCAACTTTATTCTGTGTCCTTATGTGGATTGTACAAACTGTCACTTGTTAACATGTGATGAAGTTGAAGAACATCTAATCTCTAGAGGATTTTTGCAGGGTTACATTCACTGGTTTTGCAGTGGAGAGTCTCCCACATCATCTTCTTTTGATCAATTTCTTGTGCAAAATGAATCTTCCTCCGAAAGGGCTTCTGAATTGCATGTTGATAAAGAAAATGAGCAGTGTTGATGGTTGTCAGACTTCGTTTATATGATTGTGTTGGCTAATTTTTGTTTACTGCATGCTAATATGTACAAAAATTATGGATGTGGTGAAATGTGTACAGAGAATAGGGTGTTGGAAGAGTGATTAGGAGGAAATACGTGTGGTTTTTAGGTTTTGATTTCTTGGAACTTCTTTTGCTTAATAAGCTATGTGTAGAGAAATGAAGATTGATTTGCTGAAATTTTATAGTTTGAGTTCTACATTGTAGTTAATCTTGTTTATTGCTTTTAAATGTGATTTGAGTTTCACTAAACAAAAATGAAACATGTTCTTTTTTGTTGTATCCTGAAAATTACTCTCCAGATTATTGAAGAAGGTTCTTCTCACTGGGAAACAGCACTCTTCATTGGAATTGATTTCATTCTTACCCAGCGGTCAACAATGGAAAGGTATGCACAATTCAACTTGTTCTTTTAATTTTGAAAATTCTGCTAGTATTGTGTTGAATTTTGGCTAGTCTTCTTCTTTGCTTTTTTTTTTTTTTCCAAGCTATTAAGTAGCTTCCATTGGTCATTGTCTTTATTGTTTTAGACATATTGCTTTTGTACTTAAAATGTGATTGTGACTTTTCTTATTTCCTAGCGACTAATATTGGGTGGGAAATGGCAGCGAAAATGCACATGAAATTAATTCGGGACTAATAGCAAGGAGCCTAGGATAAACGCCTTAAAATGTGGGAGAAGTTCATGGACTATATACATTTATGCTTTGGATTCAGTTTCCATATAATCCTTAGTCCATGGCTTGGTGAACTTGTGCATAAATGTGTAATTACATTATAAGGCTGAAAGTAGACCTGGATTTGATCAATTCAGTAGCTTTGAATGTTATTCTTACTGAGAAATGACTTATTTCATCATCTTCTTCTTGGCAGTACACCATTCTCCTTGCATGACGATGCTTTTGTTTTGAAGTTAATTCGGTAACACCAACAGGCGGGCGGCCAAAATATCCCTCGGAGTTCCATTCATTTAGGTTCAAGGTCTTGCATCAAATCAGTAGGCTTCAAACTCTGAAATGGACATATGTTAACCATAGGAAATACATGTAAAATCAACATACAGCCGAGTAGCAATAGGAAACAAAGAGGCGTATAATTCTATATTTCTTTGATTAGTAACTTAGTATACATAACAGTGGATTATGAGATTATTCAAGGTTACTTTTGGAATAGCATCTTGTTCCGGCACGATTTTCATCTTAAAGTAATGATGCTATCAGTGGCAGCAGCTATTTTGGTTTGATTAATCCTGCTTGATCTTAAATGGTTTCATCAACAAATAAATAGTTTTTTGCTAGCCAAAAAATAGTGAAAAGCTAAAAAATAAAAA